GTGTCCCCAGCTCTGTGTCCAGTCCCTGAGTGTCCCCAGCTGTGTGTCCAGTCCCTGAGTGTCCCCAGCTCTGTGTCCAGCCCCGTGAGTGTCCCCAGCTGTGTGTCCAGTCTCTGTGAATGTCCCCAGCTGTGTGTCCAGCCCCCAGCTCCTCCGCAGGTGCCATCCCCATGTCCCCCAGCCGGGAGCAGTGACAGCCAGCGGTGTCACATCTGCAGGACGCCCCAGAGCAGACCCTGCTGGCAGTGCTGATGATTTCTTTATGAGACAAGTGTTCTGCAAGGGCTGCACTTCTCCCACGCTCTCCTGAATGACAATCAGTCCTCCTCGGGGTTCCCTGTCTCATTCCTGTTTTGTTGGTCCCAGGAGAAGAGGGAAGCGCTCCGTGTCCCTCAGACAACACACAGGCCACCCCTGGCTTTGGACAGCGAGGGGCTTCAGGGGAATTTGGGGATGTGGAAACAGGGAAACCCTTTGGAGCCTTTCCAGCCTGTGGAAAGGGCTGAGCACAGAGACCTGTCAGGCCTCTCAGAGGTGACAAAGTTCTGTGGCTCTGAAAGGAGAAGGTGCAAATCTTCATCAGTGTGAATTTTGCCTGGAGAGAGCTGGAAGAAATAAGGACGTGAACATTAAAAGCATTTCAGAAATACCTTGAATCTCCTTCCCATAGCAAAGGTAGGAGGTGCAGACAAATCCAGACAGTTTTACAGTTTGTACCTGCAGCTTTGGGGATTACATTTGCAGTTTAACAGCCACCGTYCTTCCTCAGCAGCTGGCTGGGGAAYCCTCGGCGGACAGGGCTGGGAAACACTCCCAAACAYCAGTTATCCCCATTCCATCTCCCCAGCACACACAATCCCAGCTGTTCCTCACAAACCAGCACAGACGGTGCATTTTATGCAGTGGAGGATGCTGCCTGTGCCACACTTGGTGTAGAACCAGAACCTGGGGCTGCTCCACAGCTGCAAATAACAAGGAAATGTCCTGTTTGGGGTGGATTGGGATGTGTAATCCCTGCACCGTCGGTCAGACTGGAACTCTCATTCCTTAAAAAACAAAAACTCGTCCATGACACCACGATACACACAGGGACAAACTAGAGCCAGCTCTGACACAGAGTCCTTCACACACCATCCCTGTCACGTCCCAAACACAGCGGCCCAAGAGCTCCGGTCGCTCCAAGAGCGCCCCTGCCGTGGATGTTCCCAGCTCCACACAACGTTCCTGCCTCCACCCAGGCAGGTGAGGCACAGCCACAGCCGGCTCTGACACCCAGGACCGCACCCAGCCCGCCCGGGACCCGCAGCAGAGCGCTATTTCCGTCGGGTTTCTTTGGTTTTGGTTTTACGCAAGCAGAGTTCAGAGTRGCTGAATGCTGGCTGGCTGGGAAAGCTCACACCAAACAAATCACACCAAAGACAGAAGTGACCATCAGCTGCAGGCGGCAGYGGCATTCCCGGCCATGAGGGCTCTTCCCGCTGCCAGGAGAGCAAGCCGGGCTGGGAGCAGGCTGCGGGGCAGGGAGGGGGCTCGTTCAAAGCTGGGGGAGCYTTGGTGCTGCTCCTGCTCCCAGGGCTCATGCTGGGTGCCTGGGCTCCTTCCCCCGTCCCTCCTGCCGGGGTTTTTGGRTGCATCGCCCGTCCCGAGCGATGCTGCGGATCCTGCGCTCCCGGATCAGCCCGTCCTGTGCACGGCTCCCTCCCGCAAGGAGGAGAGCGCAGAATGCTGGCAGAGGACCCCGCTACCCGCAGAGACAGCGGTGAGGCGGAGAGGAGCTCTCCGAGAGGAGCTTTGGCACGGAGCCGCGTTTCGGGGCGCTCTCCCAGCCGTGCCCTCCTCCCGCGGGGCTCGGGCACACCCGGAGGGGAACGGGACGGCCTGGAGAGGGGAACCAGCACAGCCCCAGCGCCCTCTCCAYCGCAAGCAAGGCAAGCAAGAGAAAAAAGCTGGGCTGGGGGCGCTGCTGAAGCAGGAGGCAATGGGGMAAGCTGGGATGCTCGAGGTCTGGGCGAGTCTGCTTCTGACCCTSCTCCAAGGCCGGCCCCGCAGGAGCCGCCGCGCTGCTTGGCCTCCCTCCTCTCATTCTCAGAGCTCCTGGGGTTTGTTTTTTCWCACTGCCTCGTCTGAGTGGTTCCCTGGTCTGTGTGGGCCGTGTGACAGCACCTGCTCACCCCTGACCCCGATAGAGACCCGGGACACGGACGGAAGCCYTCGCCCGGCAAGGAGCGATTTGGAGGGGATTATTCATGGCCCCGTGCCCTTGGGACAATCAGCGCCGCTCCCAAGCCCCTTCTCCCGACTGTAACTGCATTTTCATTCTATCCAGAAACACAGCTCAACTGCCTTATCTGGGGAACGCCACTGGGATGGTGGTGAGAGCACCCGGCATGGGGAGAGAGCCCCCATTTCCTGTCCCAGGGTAGGACCCTGTGTGGCCAGGCGCTCCCACGGACACCCCACCCCTGCTCTATCCTGTGCTCCAAACTGCTCCTTAGGCTGCTCCCGGCACATCTGGGATGTCTGTC